ATAGCTGCCGGCTCCCTGGCACGGTCCTGCAGGAGCACTTGCGTGAAGACCCACTCAGTCTGCAGCTGCTCCCTGAGAAGGCAGAAGTGAAATAAATCACGCCAGAAATGCAGACCTCGCAAGTGGCAGCTGCGGCAGCCAAAAGGAAGAGCAGCGAATCTGTCTGAATGAATGCGTGGCCCTAGCCCAGGGAGCGGGCTGCGAAAGGCCAGAAGAGGAAAGCTTGGCGGAGGACAGACACAAGGCTTTTCTGAAACCAAGAAAAGGGACTGAGGTTATTTCCTTTAGAGGGACACAGCCAAAGCCCAGCACAAGTAATCTGGCTGCATTAGGTTCCTCCACATCCTGTGGGAATGATGATCCTTGGAAAAAGAAATCTATTTTTAACCTGGGAAGAGTGTTACACATGAGGACACTTAATGGAACACAAATATTTTGTTCTTTTATCTTGATACAACTGTTGAGAAACGGGAGCTCTTCACCCTTTATCAAATCAGATGCTTTGGCAGAAGAACTTGGGGGCCCCATCATCCCAAACCCTGAACAGATATTTGTTTCAGCTTATTTTCATCCCAGACTATGCCCCGGCTGGTTTCTGTCAGAAACCCGGATGGCATGCCGGAGACATCACTGTATCACGTGCGCACATCTCATCACCCCTCTGCACAAATGTCAGTTTTAATGGAGCAACTAAGAAGATCCTGTCTACTACTCACTTAACATGCATAAGGTTGGGGGGGGGAGGAGGAAGGCCTTTGTTTTACAGATGAAGAACGATGCCAAGTATTTCTCCATTCAGCCAGTCCAGTCCAGTGCCAGACCATTCCTTACAGAAGCAAAGCTAGGCTGGGAAGAGCCTAGATTGACTTAAAACATGCCGTCTTAGCAATTAAGAACAAAAATAGCATAGCACAGGCTAGAAGAAATGAAGGAAGTGAAAGACACCTCACTTCTAAGATAGGGTGGCCTTAGGTGAGATCCCACCTACGAGACCACTCCATCCAGCTGCAGTTTAATGTCCAGCTCTTGCCCTCGGCAGCCCCCATCCAGGAGAGAACTGCACTCTGGTGAACTCTGCTCACCCCTTGTTCCTCAGCGTCATCCTTCCAGATGTCTTGCGGCACCGCTCGTCCCTTGCTTAGGCAGGATTCTCCATTCGCTCCCGAATTGCACAACGAAGCAGGTCACACAACGTGCTGCTCTCGCACTGTTATTCAGTGAGGCCTTTTTCACCGCTCTTGGAGCGACACAACCCACGATGTAGGACAGTGCCCCACCAACACCCGGGGAATGCTCCGCGGAGCGCCAGACTGCTTTTCCCTTTACACTTTTCCCTTTCGTTGGGACTGTTGGTACCAGGGAACCCAAAAATCAACAAAGTTTGTTTCCTTAAAGCTGACGCAGTTTTTGCCACATCCTCTGAGGGCACAATCAGCTCTTCCATGACGACACGCCAGAAAACTGCTTGGTCACGGCATCAAACATGCCAAGTGACACAGGCCACCACGGCAAGGCAAGCTTTACAGCAGGACTGTGAAGTTACCTTTTATACAGCACACAGGCGAAGCTGGGAGGCTCTCGACCACAGCACCCGGCTGAAGGTCAACATCAAATGCTATTTTTGCTTTCAATGGTATTTTGTGCTTTCAGAACTCCTCGCAGGAAGCTGAGCCCATAACTAGTGTTTTATTTTCCCCATGCCTTCTTGCACGCTATTTCTGGCCAAAGCCACGCCAGTGCAAACAAGATTGTTTTTGAGACTGTTACCACCTGTGCAATTGCCAGAAGAGAATAAACCAACAGACATAAAAACCCGGAACGGCTCAAAAACCTACTAGTAGCTATAGATGTTGAGAATACAACACAATTTCCAAAGAGGACACAAAAAAAAAAAATCCCCAAGATGTTTAAACACATTCCAGAAGTGAAAAAAAAAAAAATTAAAAATTTGAGCAGGCATCTTCGTGTTTCCAGACTTTGACTCATTACTTGACAGAAGAGACTGAATGCCTCCTGCTAAGCCATCATAATATCCGAACAAGTTCAAGCGCCGTTCACAAGAAAACACACAGCAGGAAAAGGAGCAAGTTGCATTTAATTACAACAAAGAGGGTTTCAGCTAGTTACAAGCCAGCTCACCCCAACCATCATCCCTTACTAAAAGACAGACTTAGCGACACCATGGTAAGTTGTACCATTCCTTTCACAAAGCAGGACACCCAAACCCTTCCTGAATGGCTTTCTTTTAAATATTTTTCTCCTATCACCCTTAGCAATACACTCTACCTTGCTGTGGTGGTATAGGAAGTCAAAAAGCAACTATTCCCTCTTCTTGCATATAAGGAAAAATAAATATAAACAAGGATTAGAGCATCATGAGAGAAGACAAACAAATCTCCACCTCAATATATCATTTACCTCCAATTAAAAGTGATCAATTAGAAAAAAAAATAATTTAAAACAACCAAACAAACAGTAGAACAGACACAAAGATATAACAGTGTGAACGCCAGCTGCTTACAAGCAGGGAATGTGCATAGCAATCTTCACTATTTTGCTTGTATGGCTTATGCAAAAGAGACAGAAGAAAAATAAAAATAATTAAAAAAAACAACGCATTGAGAGACCCTAACAGTTTCATTTGAATTTAACAAGTATAGTAATACTGCTGCCAAATTATAGACAAACTTCACTCCCCTTGGAGAAACTAACTCTTCACCTGCCCCTGCCCTGGTTTTGCTCTGTTCTGAAGAGGTGAACAGCCCTCATTAGCGGCCCGAGGAGACCAACCTCATTCCTCCCTGAGGACAGGCATCCATCCTTGCAGGCTCAAGAGAAGACATCATTTTCTTTTTACAGCAAAACACCAACAAGGAATCTTTCCTGTTCTCAACTTTTACATGAATAAGAATTATTTTAAGGAGAAAGAAGCTTGAACAATTTTTCAGTCTCCTCTCTTTTCTTCCCCACGTGGCACAGGCGACTCATTTTGCATTTGGGACTTCCAGCTGGTATCAAGCCCTCTCAGATACACCTGGAACTAGTCTGTCCTCTGCTTGAGCTGAGGAGCCACAGGACAGATGCCTTTCACCTGCACATCTTAGGCACTGAATGCTGTGATCCACTTGAGGACACTGAAACATTAAAGTGCTTTTTTTTTTTTTTTTTTCTTTTTCTTTTCTTTGTAGAACCTGAATGCTTGAACGGTCACTCATCCTACATCCCAAACCAGACCAACAGATAACATACTGTTTTTAATGCTCAACTACAAACAACTTGACTTCTGAAACTACATTAACACAAATAGCAATGCAAGTTATGACAGAAGAAGTGGGTTCCCACCGAACATTTAAGTTGATGGAAGAGAACCGAATGATGGGGAGAGACCTTTTACAGTTAAAACACTAGGCAGCACAGGGCATTTCACTAGTGCCCAGCATTTCTGTTGGCAAGTAGCAAGATATGGCATGGAGCCTTCTACGCTGGAGCTCTAGGGAAGCAATTTCTGCAGGGGGGAAAAAAGCACCGAGGCTCAAAGAGTATTAGCAGGGCCCCTAACATACAAGTCAGTTTGCCACCTACCAGCCCAGAAGCGAGTATTACTCCAAACCCTGTGCAGAAAGAGCTGCTGTCCTTCTGTTCCCAGCTCAGACATATTAAAAGCCCAATGTGACTACCTGAAATACTCATTACCTGAAGCATGAACAAAATGGAGGTAGACAGGGCAAAAATGTAGCATTATTGATGAGGAAACCTGAAGCACAGCTGACCCCTTTTGTACAATAAGGTATATTTGCCTTGAAATGAAGAAAGGGGAAAACCCAGGCTGTATTTAAAGACATGTGCAATGCCCCCGATCTGTAAACATACTGCAACGTAACCTCTCGAGGACAAGCATACCGCACAAATGACCTTGCAGAAAGGATGGATACGGATAAAATCTGTACAGACAAAGAACTTGTATGATAAAACATAATATAACTTAACTCTGAATAAGCAGAACTAAAAGAAGCCCTAACCACTGCGCTGCAGATTCAGAAAGGGGAACAAACTCAGAGCCCGGAACAGCAGCTCCCGGACTTCCCTGCTTGGATTCCCACTTCTGGGGGTTTAGCCCAAGAAAGACAACTCCGGTTCTAGAAGAGAGAACAGAGGTTTCAAAGGACTGGGACAAACCAAATCATGTCCTCCAAAGGGAAAGATTGCCCACCTCGTTAATGTCACGTCCTGTCATTAGTTACATTTTCTGAATCCCACCTAGATTACCTCAGTTTAAGTCAGAATCTAGACAAGTCTATTCACCCCAGGAATTCTTTCACAGCCGTAACAGAAGTATAAGATAATTCAGATAAAAGAAAGACACTGATTTAACTGTCCAGCTATAAGAGCGTATGGTGGGGCTTGCTTTTTGTTTTAACTGTTTTTACCACCTTGGTTTCTATTGCGATCAATCTTCTTGCATATCCAACTTTTTTACCATTTAGTATGTCATATTAAAAAAAAAAAAAGTCAAGAGGATATGCTAAACACCAAAGCTTTGTTTAAATTATGGAAAGTGAGGATGAACACATTGATACAGGCTTGCAATTTTAATTTTTAAAAGGCCCCTATGGTGGGACTAGCTATAGATGGCATCATGCTAATGCAAATGGAAAACAGTTGTTCAAAAAAAAAAAAACAAAACCACTTTAAGTAAGTATGAATTCACACCATACACGTGTACATACTTAATTTTCTACGTTAGCTTTGTCTGAACTATAAATCAAGTCAATACTACTAAAAATGCGGTATGTGCAACATTAACCTGATTAAAGCATTTTATAAATACAAGCTTTTTAGTATTGCAATGTACTTCACTACTTAACATACTGAAAAAGCAAGTTCTACATTTAAAATTCTGATGTTCTATCAGTCAATTAAGACTACAAATGGAAAAATACTTGCTAATTTTTTACCATTATCGAAAATGCAAATATATTTCATTTTTGGAAGAAAACAATCTTGTTTATAACTACTGGTGCTTCTTTCAACATCGGAAGATAACTACGCTAACAAAATACAAACTTTGTAGCAAGCTTACATGTACTTCTCCGAGGCAAAAAGAAAAAAAAAAATCTGGTTTGTATTTATGAAGGAACATCCGTTTATTATAAAACAAGATAAAAGATATTAGAATTAAGTTGAAACAAGGCAACATTAGAACAACCACTAGAGAGCTTTGTGAACGAAGTGTAGTTTGGAACTTGCAAACCAAGGTGAAAGTAGCTCTTAACATGCTGTCCTCTTCTCTATAAATGGGACGAAGTAGAGAAGCAAAGCTTCAAGGTGTAAGGGTTGGAGCCATCTGTCAGGAGACAACATATAACATACTCAGGGCGTTTTACTGAGCAGAGCTCTCCTGCCAATCAAGAATCACACTGCATAATCTCCCAGGTTGACCAGTTCTGTAGATTTAAGGCTCATGCCTCCCTGCCTACCCCCCCGCCAGTGGCCTGCAGACACCAGATGACCTGTAAGGTGGTGTCCTTGATAGTCTACCAGCAGGTTTTTTAGACATAAAAACAAAGCAATGGATCTGGTCACAAGGGAACGTAGACAGAATTCCAAATGTACTATTACACAAGAACGGCTTTACGATTATTGCTGCCCCACTTCGTAGCTGAGCTATTTACAGAAGTAGTATTTAATAGGCCATTTCAAAGACAAAATGCGTAGATGTTTAAGGAAGTCAAGACTTAGAATGTGGAAAGGCTGCCCAGACCCATGGATGGCAGCACACCTGCGCCTCTCAGGTAGCGGAAGATCCATCCTCCCGGTTCAGCCAACCTCAGGCAATCTTATTACAGCAAGTCTTAACCAGCAGGTCTTGTTTTCAAATACTGTCTGTCCCTGCGACAGCTATATTTGATTATACGTTCGGGTTTGCCTTTTGAAAGAGTAAGTTGTTCTGCTGTTATCACCTCTCCCAACGGAGATAAATCTGCAACTGTGAACAGTATGCTATCAATAGTATCTTAAAAAATATTCCGCCCCTGAAGTAATCTCAGTCCGTTACTGAGAAGGTGGACCAAAGCGGGGGGTGCAGGGGCAGGAAACATTTAAACTGTTAACACTTGACAGGGAGACCAATTCAGAATAGTCTGGAGAAGGCAGTTTAAAGTAACATTAGACACTGGCCTGGAATCAAAGTTATGCCTGTGAACACCCGGAAAAATTGCATTTAATCCAGTAAATGGATTCTTAATTGTCCAATATGTACTTGTTTAGCAGGTGAACTCCCTCTCCATTCTTACTAGTTTGGAGCTAAATTCAGTTTTGCCTCGCTATCTCCAATTTGAAAGAGCACCCACTACAGGAGCAGTTAATTCAGAGCAGTGAGCTGTGTAACGTAAAGAACCTTCTGTCCAAAGATACTGCAGATTTCTCTGCATTTATTGTGAAAGCTTCCGTAAGACATCATCCTTAATCATCCTTCGGTTTGATTTTGATGACAGGGGATTTTAATGCTTTTCCTGCCTGCCTTCTTTCTACCCCAAACCAATTTCCACCCCCATCTCTCCATAACTTCTAAGTTGCAGAGCATATTTTGCATTCTATAGGCTGACTCAAAAACTAAGAAGAAAGAGTGCCATTTAGATAGAAACTAATGGAACCTAAACTAGAGATTAAATACTGTAATACATATAGTATTCGTATACTGTAATATAAATAGTAAAGTATATGTATATATATAAAATACAGCATATATACATGTAAGAATGATGCCGTTTTTAGCTGCAGACTGAACTGCTGAAACCTCACCTTTTACAAAGGCAGCATCAACGTGAAAGAAAACAAGAAAAAAAAAAAAACCAGCAGCAAGATCAGTAAAATTGACTTACTTGGGACTCTTATCTGGTAGTGATTAAGTACAGTGAGAGCTTCCACTGCATCTGTCTTACATTCCCATTCCAAGAGACCAGACAGTGTTTTGGCAGAAGCTGTCAAAATAAAAAAGGGAAGGAGGGGATCAATAACAGCTCCTGACAGTGTATGTTCTTACCAAAACTGGAATTCAAATAACTCCCCAAACAGGCCAAAGTTTACTTACGTTTTGGATCAAACACTTTGTATTTAATAAAGCTGAGAACTTCATGATCCTCACATAACTGTCACAAAAATAAAATAAGAGGTAAAACTCCAGTAAAAAATGCACATAAACACATTAGCAAAAATTCCAAGTTTCTGGAAGAGACACACAAAAAGGAGAATACTGATTCTTTAAGAGAGCTTACAAGAATTTATAGCAAATTATTATTCTAAAAATATGCTTAGATTGGTAACATTCGTTAGAATGCCATTCTATAGTATGCAAAACAAGGCTCCTGTATCTGCGCCATCTGATGATAAATATGATTTTATAGGCAGAAAAACTGTTAGAGTACCAATATCACTATCTCAAGCAACATACTTAAATAAAAACAAGTTCTTTTTGACGTTCCCCCTTCAAAAGAATAGCTCAGAAGTTGTATGTAGAAGCATACAGCTCATGAACCAGAGTTAACTTTCAGAGTTTTCAGAGTTTGAAAAAAAATTACTTTTATTTAACTGAAAAAGGACTCGTTGAACTGTCATTGGTTTTACGACTGCCTTCACTTGAGAGGCCCAATATCACATATATTAAGCATCCAGAGTTCATTTAGGACTCAGCTGTGCAAACTGTTCCAGGTGCACACTTCTTCATTCCAAAGCATCCTACCAGTCATTAGAGTAACCATCTCAGGGAGTCAGTAAATCTTTTGCAAATTGCAGTCCTAACTTTCCCTGTGTTTTGCTTTGTGTAAGTCTTTCCCTTCCTCCACAAAAAAAAACCACCAAAAAAACCAAACAACCCCACATTAAGCTCCTCAACTTAATTTCCAAGATCTTGTTTCTCACTTAAAAAAAAAAAAAAAGATGGAGAGAATAATGCCAGAATTGTGAAAATACAGCAGCTTCTATATAGAGAGGCTACAAACCTATTTTAAAAAACAGTTCTCTTCCAGTCGCTCTGCTGTAACTCTCCCAGTTATTTTTTTTTTTAAAGTAGCACAGTGAAAAGGTAGGATAGAGCCCCAAAGCACGGTACATCACAGTTATTTCAGCTGCCTACCTTTACAAACGTTTCCTCAGTTACACACAGGGGAACATTATAATAATGCAGCACACAAGAGGGTGGTTGGATGATGTTCTTAGATGCTTGGCCCGCACTGGTGAAGCGATTATTCTTACTCATTGCAAAATCCTTGTAACTACTCGTGCCATCCTCCAGTTCAAATATCTGGCTTGGAACTACTGAATGCTGCTTGGAAACACTGGGATTTAAGGATATACATATAAAGTTTTAAGACTTGCATACTTTGCACACAGATTATTGATCTAACCAGAACAGAGCTGACATTTCTTTACACCAATTTGAAATAGAAGGAGAAGGAGAAGAAATGGGTTGGGTTTGGCACCTTAAAAAAAAAAAAAAGTACAAAGGAGGGATAAGACACGTTAGGGAATACAGTTTTTTAACAGCCAATCCATGTAATGCCCATAGGCTTTATTAATATAAATAAAATAATTCTAAATAAAATTATAAATAGTAATAAACAAATAAATAATTGCAAATTGGAAATTGTAACTCCAACAACGATAACAGAACAATGGGATATTTTCTGTTTGCAAACTCATTCCATCTGCACACTGGTAGACTATTAATCTGATAAAACATATTTACCAGACATTAAGTCTCTTTCCAAATAACTTGACATTGTTGAGATGTGTGACAGCTCTTTCCACAGCATACTCATCACCCATTTCCACCAGTGCCGTGCCTGGAATAGTCTTCATAAATTTCACCTAAGATAGATAAAGGAAAAAAATGACGTTGCAACAAAGAGCCCAACCAAGAGTTTTACAAGTTATTAGGAAATATTTTTAGACCATCTCAGGCAGTTTTTTTCCCCCAAAAACAATTAAAATGAATATAGTAGTTTCCAAGTTTCTAACAAATTATGCCTCACCTTCTCAATGTTTCCATACAAGCAGAACAGGTTGAAGACCCTTGAACAGTTCATCTTTAGCTGGTGCAACCCACTAACCATGACAACTGACCCAGAAGGATTTCCACCATGCATGTAAGAGGAGGATGCCTGGGGCAACGGATAAGCAACAAGTTCTGGAGTGTCCCGAGATCCCATTCGGTACCGGCTCGGCAGGGGCAACAAAGGACCGTGGGACCCTAAGGAGATGGAAGACCATGCTTTCATACTGTTTGAAACAAGTTTCGCGACTTAATCATGCAGTAAAGCCCACATATGTAGTGTGTATTTAAAGGGGAGGGGGGGAACATTACAGCAGTTTCCATTAATTCTTTTTCCAATTCAAAAAAACAAAAAACAAACAAAACCAAACCAAAACAAAAGCCCCCAAAAAACCTTCCAGTGTAAACTCTTCTGTTCCCTTTAATGTCCCAAGTCTCATCTCACATTACCAGACAAGAAGGAAGGAGCTGTTTCATGGTATTGTTTTTATACACAAGAGAAGGTATTTCAGCAATTGTAAAAATAGTATCTTCCCTGCCCCATACAAAATATTTGAACATAAACCTATCAGAAGAAATATTTAAAAATCAGCCTTCAACAATATTGTCATGCCTACTTATAGAGATACATGACACCAAGAAATTAAAAAGAAAAACGAACCAAAAAGAATGAACTCTTAGCCAGAGGTCAGGAGAGGAGATGACACAGCTCTTTTCCAGAGACGAGAGATTAAGTCAGAATATTGTCTTTCTACAAACAGCTCGTTTGGAAGAAACAGGAATACTTAAATCCCTGCATCAATGCAAAATGAAGCTGTCCTATTTTCCACTACAGGTAAATTGGCAAGTCTCATAGAAATAAACAATTTCTCCCCCCCTTTTTTGTTTTTAAATTAAGAGACATTACTAGTATGCAATACTTCTGTTTATACAAAACATCAGTATTACAGACCAAGGAGATGATCCCTGTTCTTCTGAGACAAAAATAACATGAAATTCACATAAGCCAAGTAGAAAAGGAACCTTTTGTCCTTCCCCCCCAGCAAAAAGCAGTAATGAGAGGGAGACGGTGGAATAGGAGGAGACAGCCACATTACTTAAGGTGGAAGCATGTTTCAGAAGAATGAAAAAAGAACATCAGTGAATACAAGGCAGAACTTGGAAATTCTGGAGATTTGAAGAACCTTTGGAAAGAGTAGGTAGAAGGTCAGCCTACATTGTGAAATGTTGTAAATACATCTGCAAAGAAAGAGGCAAGACAAATCCCATTGCATCTGGCATTTAAGAGAGTAAGTAACTAGAAAAAGTCACATCTAACTGGGGACATTGGTTTCTCAACCCTGAGGTCTTGGTCCAACATGTGAAAGCGACAGCAGAACCTTTGTTTACAGATAGCACTGGTAACAACTGCAGCACTTCATAGCACAAATTGCAAACCATCATCCTTATACAGTCACATAGCTATACCTTTTCAGGATTACCTAAATTAGAAGGCACACAAAGCCCCCAATTCTCAGCTTTGCATGCAAGAACATCAAAGAGCTCTATGCTGCATCAAACCATTAATCAAGCCATGTTGCCATTTTCTAGAAGAAAACCGCTTTTCCAGTACAGAGGTCGTTTTCCATCCATTGACGGGGTGATGGCAACTGAAAGGAAACACTCTACCGTGGAAAAAATTTGTAGAGCCGGATGCTCTCCATGAAAGGAAGAGGTATGGCAATAAATGCACAGATTTCGGTGAATCGCTAGCATTTTCAGAATGTGGACTGACAGCACCGCACGTGCAGCAGCACAATAGTGAACTACTCATGCTGTAGATATTTAGGGTATTTAGAATTCCACATAACATATAAAGAAATCATAACCACCTGTCATCCTATGTTACTTACCGTAACCATCATGTCTAAATGATGATGGGTGCTCTCCCAAAATAGCTTGCCTCTGGCGGCCCTTCCCTCTGTCTAACATGCGGGAAGGGAAAGAAAACAGTTTAGTATGCACACCTATGCACCTGGTTTCTTCAGTTAAGACACAAAGCTTCTCGTTAAGAAGCAAAAAAGTAATTGGAGTCCTTGTTAATTTTATAAACGATTTCTCATTCATTATACATCTAAAACCACAAGCTGTAGTAGCCCTGGGACACCAAAATTAAAAGACTGCCATCTGTATAACAAATTGCACTTAAGTTGATTGGGGGCAGTGGCCAATGAGGAGATGCAGTTTAAAGTTTATGGAAATACCCAATAGTTTTCCTAAACAGACACCACACATTAGCATAGATAACACCATACAGCAGGATTTACCTATGTGTCTCTTAAAACAAATTTGAAATGCAGTACTTTTGAAAGACAGTACCTGAATCATAATATTAGCTTCAACAGCAACACATTTTCAAAGTGGGCTTCTTTCAAGAAGTTTCAGCATAAGCCAACAACAACCTGTATTACATGGTTTCATAATCAGTAAACAGAGAGCATTACATATGCGTACACATATATTTACAGAACACCTACTGATTTACGGGCGTGCTGAAAGGACTGTACATTATTGCATTATCAGCAGCACAAAACAGTTCAACTGAAGAAAACCGTCACTGAATAATGCACTAAAACAACGCTCAATCCTTTAAGAAAACCCAGTTTTCTAGGATATAAAGTTAAGCAAGGGGTCTACATTACTGGAGGAGGGCAGTGCATCACAGCCAAAGCTGTATTTTTCTAATCAGATCCATGCTGCCTGACAAAGGAAATCTAAACTTGCAGATTTCTTTGCGGTAAACAACGATTGATTTCCCACAATTAAAAAAGCCACGTTGAAAAGACAGGGCAAGACATTTATCAGTTTACAACAGTTCCCAGGGAATTTAAGTATGACGGCTGAGAATGGCAACTCCAGCCCGATGCAGCTGGAGGTATTGCCCCTGAAAAATGGGGACTAGTCACGTTAGACAACACAACAGTGGGAAATGAAAACACAAGCGCCCTTTCTGCTCAGGATTTTGAGGACAGGTTCCAAGTCAGGTGTTTACTCTGGCGATAAAGCCTAAAGAGAGAATAGTGCTGAATGACTTCAAATATAGAGATGAAAGATTACTTTTGTCAAGCTTTTCCATTCCCTTTTTCACCGTAACAGTTCTGGTCCTTGGCTTGAGAAAGCAAATGGGCAGTCCTAGCAAGTAGTTTGAGCATTTAGGCTGTATGAAGTAATCACCTTTCAGAAAAATCAAGTTTATCACTCCAGTCTGTGGAGCTAAATCCTTTCAAACTGCACCCAGTAATATAGTAAAGGACCATAATTTTCAAATAAAGAATTCTGGAAGAACAGGTTGACAAATATTTCCTCGTCATGATGGTATAGTCCACTGCTCTCTCCTTGCCCCATACTTGTTCCTTCCTTCAACAAAGTCCCTCAATTGTGCCAGCACAAACACTTGTGCAAACAGGCACTGAAACAGGAGAACTGGTCTGTGTTAAAAATAACTCTCAATGGAAAGATTCTTTATGATCTAGTTTAAAAATGGCGCTTGTTTTTTTTTTTTTTTTCCTTTGTTTTTAAATCAGGTCCTGGAGTCACTGCATACACTGGTATTACCACCAAAAGAAATGCTCCAAACTACAATTTGAACTTTGTGGCTAAAAGCAAGTAGAATACTTGCAAGTACTATAAGTTAGGTGGTTTTTTTCAGTTCAATTTAATGCAACATGGGTTCACAGCAGCAGGCACTTGTTAGGAAGTTTACTTAAGTGCAGCAATACTATGGGGAAGTCTGCAATTTGTTACCACAAAGAACTAAACCAAATTCTTTAGAAAAAAAAAAAAAAAAACAAAAAACAAGAAACACCAAAAAAACCCCCAAACATCAGCCAAACGAATTTCCTTCCTAAGATTTGGCAGGTTGGGGGGGGGTGGGGCGTGAAATTCTGAAAGGACACATTAGCATGCCTGTCCTCAGAATGAAATTCCTTTGGGCTACGAAAATTCCTTTGGGCTAAGATCTTGTTTGCTGCAGTCAGCTCCCTACAGTTCGGTTCACATTACGTTCAAAAGCCAAACAATGCTGCTGCAAGGGTAAGTTGAAGCATAAATATGAAAACTCTTTTGCTCAAAAAAAAAAATAATTAAAAAATGTCCCGGATTACTTTATGGGCAAAATTGCTCTAGATGCCTGCTTTCTCAAGCGCATTTCAGTGTTCATTCAACAATTTATGTTCCCATTTTCTAGATAATGGACCACAAGAAATGAAAAAAATCATGCTATGTACAATATATTGTTATATCGTATATATAGAGATATATAATACAAGTCTAATTTTCCTCTTACGTGTAGTACAGTGATGCACAGAATATAGAGACAGGCTGTCAAAATAACAAAAGGAAAACAGAAGAGAGAGCTCTTGAGAAAGAGCAAGCTGTACCTATCCTAAGTTTTTCCATTTTCCACTGTTTTCTCTAGCTGGGGGAACATTTAGTTCATACAGCCATATCTATCCGTAGACCAATTACATAATGTAATTAGATGCACAAAATTACAAGTCAGCCTCCAAACACTGCAATGACCAAAAGATATAAGAGTCACATTAATCCTTCAGATTTTTCGAATTCAAACCCTCAGATTTTTTTTCTTGCCCTTGAGTTTCTTCAAAATCCCTTTTTGTACTCGGGAAATGAGGAAAAAAAAATAAATTTGAATCCTGATACAAATAGTCATAATCCACCAGCTACAACCAATACTGTAGCTCCCTTGTTAACTTTTTACAAGAACTTCATTTTGAAAATTCAAGCCCTAAGATTTTAGTTTTACAACAGTTTTACAAGCCCAGCGCCCCTGCAGAATTTCTCTGAACGTGCGTATCACTTGAGACGGCCAAAGCCCTGGTTCTCATATACCCTTTGATAAGTAGATACTCTACCTTGGACACATCGTCTTCACTTTTCTAACTTTACATTGCACACAGTATTGTACATAATTACTGAACACTGCACTCAATAGTTACATATATATGTATTTTAAAATAAACACTTCACAGGAGTTAGGCTACACAGCAGTTTGTCTTTACATATCAAGTCATAGTTTCCACTGACATGAGGTAAGCTCTGCTAATTTTTACAGCTGAGTACTTAAGAGACAGTACGCCTGTACCAATTATGAATCTCCCTATTTTAGTACTTAAATATAACTGAGGGGGCCTATCTGGTATCGCACTACTCCATTCCAACTCTCTACAGATAAGGATTAAATTTCCCTACTACAATATTTACACTGTTAAGACTGAATGCAACTCTCACATACAGCATGTAATAAAAAGGTTACAACGTCAGTGATATCAACAAGAGATTAATTTTGGAGGTTCTCAATTTTTCAGTTGTAATTTTAAGGGAAATAAGACCAGCATACATACAAACTCGAACAGAATGGGTACAGTCTATCGTGTTATTCATCCCATACAAATCTGAAGTACTGAAAGTGTCCTCCTTTAAAAACTTGTGGTGGTGGTGCATGCAGTATGCAGACAAGGTGAATTGCAAGTCTGAGGTTTTTTCAGAGGGTTTTTGTTTGTTTGTTTGATTGATTTTGGTTTGGTTTTTTTTTTTGCTGATGCCGATGTGGTGCATGATGAAGTGTAGAGTCAGCCTGCTGAAGTCCTCTATCCTTCTTAATGCCTCGTCCAACATAGGGATAAAAAAAAAGAGTCCTTTCGAAGGAGAAGCAGTGTGCAAGTTTGTAGTTTGTAAGGAATAGTCTGTACCAGGTTTCCTCTCCTCCAAAGGGAGAGTGCTGCTTGGAGAAATGCAAGTCCTTGAGAACTGCGAAGGTGCTTGCAGGTGTGGGCTCCTTGTTGAACTAAGTGGCTCAAGCACACGGCAGGAGGGGGCACTAGGGCTCAGGGTTAATTTCCTGGCTTGGGAACAGCCTTCTGCAGCACTGGCTTGCTTTGAAATGACTACTGCCATACAGCCTGACCACGTGCAAAGGATTGTCATTAGTACAGTCAAACATCTACAGCGATAACATAGGAAAACCTACCTCGTCGGCCCAGATACGGTTTAGTGTAGTCCCAACTATCATTGTCGTTTCTAATGACATTAAGTCGAGTTGGCTGTTCAAACAAAGTAAAAGTGAAAAAGGTTAAGTCTTGATTATATACATTTTTCTAGTAAAATTAAAAGAGAAGGTCCAAGCATTACCCTTGCATATTCAATTTTTAGTGTGCAGCATCCTGCATAGATATCTGCTCCATTGAGTGCAGCCTTCGCCTTCTGGGCACAAAACACCGATTCAAACATAAGCATCATGTTAAGGATTTTTTTTCCCCCCAGATGTCTCATGCATGTCCCTTTCTTCTGATATGGCTTTATTTTTGTAGCCTGCAGATATTTGACTATTGTATACTGTCCTGGTTTGACGTAAAACTGGACCAATTGTGTTCAGTAACTTTGCTTCTTAGCTGGGCCTCTTCTAACAAGTGACATTAACAGCATGTTGTGCAGATACTGTTCGCTCTCAGAGCGATAAGACCGATGTTTATAGCTGATGCCCAGGCATGGGACACAGAGATGCTCTTGCTTATACTTATTGCTATAACACCCAAGGCCAACCAACTTTGTTACTTGCCCCGCTGGAGGGTCGGAAGCGGAAAAGCATAGAGGGGTCCCACAGGACAGGTGACCCAAACCTGACCAACAGGGTATTCCATCCCATCTGCCTCATGCTCAGTGTAAAAGCTGAGGGATCAAAGGGTCAGCCCTCTTTCTTCAATGGCCAACGTCTGAGGAGGACTCTGTCTGTCTAACTTTGATCCCAATCCTGAAGGCAGATCCAAAATCCAGTTCCTGTCCATCACCGAGTCCAGCCTGGGACTGCCCCAGTGCCAGCCGGTGATGCAATCGTCATCTTGGGAGCCCGATAAGGTTTTGTATATATTTCATTATTTCCTTTCATTTTATTATTAATATTTCATAAAGTAGTTTAGTTCCTTCTAAACTCATAAGTCTCTTTTTCCCCTCCTCTGCCTCTCTCTTTGAAGAGGGGTAGAGGGGAACATCTGTTGGTCCCATCTGGGGTCCCCCACAACCCCAGTAGCCAATTCAGCCTAAACCACAACAATACCTTACAAGAACTCCATACAGACTTTATATTAAAGTTACCAACAAGTGTATATGGGTTCAACTTATGTTAAGCATCTGCTTTTGAGATGTAAGCAGCACACGATGAGACTATGAGTAAAGTCTTCAATGTGGATTATATTGATGCAAGTTTTGGTTTTGCTCCAAACTTATGCCGTTTGGAAGGGGATATTCTGGTGGGTTTAGTAATTTTCATCAGAGGACACAGAAAGTTACCAGCAAGCCTAGAGAATATTTGAAAGGAAATTTTGAAGGGAAAGCTGAAACTGCACCATTTGGGAAGGGATCAGAGCTGGGGGGCGAGAAGGTGCAACTTAACACAACGCATCCCTTCTCACAGCTGGCATTAGCTAGAGACTTGTGGGTCAGGAGAACATGAACTCGGGAGTTACTTTACACCATCAAAAAATAAAACAAGCAGATGCTTTAAATCCACTGCTCAAGGCAGATGCGTGTACCAGGCTCTAACACGTGGGTTATTTCCTATTCTCTACATATTCCAAGCTTAGTTCTATGACTAGCAGAAAAATATGCCTGAGCCTTGGCACACGGCAAGCCACGATCTCATACATTGTCAATAACATATGGTATCAGAAAGCCTGTACCTTGCAGCAGACCAGACGTTTTGCGCCACCCTTTGATATAATTCAGTGAAATTTTGGAAATAGTCTATTGATAGCATATCCCTCGTGTTTTACCACATTCCTGCAGCCCAACGTCTTCCAAGGTGATGTAAGTTCGCTGTGGAACTGAAGAGTGAGAAAAGTTAAGCTTCCCAGACCTCTAAGAAATTGTTTGACATTGGCCAGAACTGTGGGAGCACATCTGCAAAAGTAACGGGTGCTGCAATTAGCATTGAAATTTGAGTAAATTTTTCAACTTTTCCGACAAGGCTTGCCTTGAAGCTTGCTTTTTTCCCCCTTCCTCCCAACCTGTTTACCTACGCTGCTGGATTACTTTGCTCACGTTTGTGAGTTTTCTTTCAATTGCCGGTTGCTTTTTTTTTTTTTTTAATAAAAGGCATGTTGCAGAATTTCACTCAAAGGACAGAAGTATGGTAGTTTCAGAGCACGTGCAGGATCCTCCACAACTTCCCTAATCTTTCACAAGATACAGAATAACCTCCAACTGCACAAGTCATCTGATGCAGATAACACCGCTTATCACAAACTCAACACACTATCATAGAAGTCAAACCACTGTCTGCTAGAACACACAGTTTAACTCTTCAACACAGATAAACAGCAACTAGCTTGCTTTTAAGGAAGGTAAGGTGATTCTTTTAGCCTAGCAGATCATCCATGCAGCCACTGGTTAAGTTGTATGTTACAGAAGCGTCCCACTAATAACACCTGCCACATCGGTAGCATCTGAAATCACATAAGATTTTCTGAGATTTTCGTACAATTTTGTCCAGATAACACCCCAGAAATGGAGGGTAATCAGTCTCTAGGAAGAGGGCTATCAGAGTTTTATAAACTATGGCGTAATCGTATCAGACTTTGGACTTTGCAAACCGCAGTAACACATTAACAACTCTGAACACTCATCCCACATAACACTTAATGCGATAAATACAGTAAACAGTAGGATAACAGTGCAGGGAATTTCCTCAAGACATAATAAATAGGTCAAGGAGGCCTAAGTTGGTCTTGTGCTTTATAAAAGTCAGAATAGTAAGGCAAGCAGTGTATATTAGAACTATTCTAGAAGAGTCTGAAGAAGTAAAAGTGCACCTCTGCAATTCCTTACCCATTTCTTGAGTATCACTACAGGCAAAAGCCATGAATCTATTGTGTATAACGCGTTGTCAAATCTATGACATTTCATGTCTGCAATTGTTAGCCTTAGGTCCACCTATAAACATGGTTATCAAGACCATTGTTGACCATGTCATCTTCCTATAAAGATGAAACATTTAAGTGCTATTGTGTCTTAAAAGCATATAGAAATTACCATGCCTTAGACAGAAACTAAAATACAATTTGGTCTCAAAATTACACAGTATTTTTCTGTCATTCTCATGTTAAATCCCATCTGCAGTGAAAAACCTACAGAAAAAAAACCAGCCCACATGCAAAAAGGATATTCAACCATAGCTTGTATTCCATTTCTCTTGAATATAACAATGCGCTGAACTTTTCCAACAGGGTTGCACACAGTATACAAGACATCCTAAGGAAGAAGAAGAAAAAAATATTTTAGTCAGATGTGAAATTTCCAATACTTCAGGTCCACAGAACATTTTCTTGCATTGGCATTTCAATGCCAAAGAGCAAAGCCTTGT